GAATTTCAAGCTTCAAGATCCTTCAATTGTGGATTTTTTATTTTTTTATTTTTTTACATTAAATCTTCGAAAATCAGAGATATAATCTACACATCAAAGAACAATAACTAACGAATATCAACAGTAAAACACTATGAAAAAAATCAGATATGGCATTTTGAACTCATTCATATAGAGTTTCAATTTTATTTTTTTCAGATTTGAAATTACATCCATTATTTATTTGATAATGACTAATAATCAGTTGAAAAGAAGATTATCACGGTGTAGTGCTCTTGGCAACGTCGATGGAGGTTTTAGATGGTATTTACATGATTGTGGATCTTTAAAATGGGAAGGAAAGATTATCAGATGGTCAAACAAAACTGGGGATAGATAGGTTAGTAATTAGTTTTAGTTAGAAAGATATATATTATAATAAGTTTAACACTTGATAAAGACAGGTAAATACTTTAATTTTAATAGGTAGCTTGTGTAGTTTCCTCGTTTATAAATGCATTTGTTAATTTTGAGTAGATACATTTCTTGATCAACAAAATTCTTTCATGTAGTTTATTTAAACTTATGGATATGTTGGCTTGTACTCACTTTTGGATCCTTTATAAAGGACCCTAGTTTGGGTTTTTTGATAGGCTGCAATTTTGAGTATTAATAATGTTAGAAATTTTACCTCCTATAGCAAAGTTATATATCCTATTTATTATAAATCAAAATAATTTTAAAATATTATTTTCTATAGCTACCTTTTATATTTTATAGCAAAATAGGTATTTATGGTATATACTACCATTGAGACATGAAATACACTATTTATGTTTTTCCTCTCTCTTTCTTTCAATTAACACACGATTCTCTCTCGAAATTTTCCTTTTTCTCTCTCTTCTTTCTCTCTCTCTTCGAACAACTCAAGATACACGCCCTAGTATTGATGACCGACGAGACATTAAAATCTCTCTCTTCGAGCAACTCAAGATACACACCCTAGTATTGATGGCCGACGAGACATTAGAATAGAGTAGAAGGCATCCAGGAAACAGAAAAGAGTGAATTTTTCTAACGGAAAGGAGCAATGTGATGAACTCTTATCAGAAATTTGTTGTACGTATCCGGCGAACTTTCTTCTCTCCTTGGCCGGAAAATGCCATCTCTCACGAACTTTCTTCTCTTCTTTGCCATTTAGTCACATACAATGATACAATACATTATATTCTGTACAAATTCACTCAAACACATTGTATTTTTGTATAAATATTTTTTTGCCTGTATTTATGTATTTCGAAGGTCTGTATTTTTTTAATACAGCTGAATACACCTGTAATCATGCATATTGTACATACAGTATGCATGATTACAAGATATAAATATTGAAATACACTTAATACAAATATTGAAATAGAACAAAATATAAACAATGAATACATTTAATTTTAAAATACAGTAAAATATATTAAATACAAATAGAAATACAGTGAATACAACCAATGAAATATACTAAATACAACAGTAATAACTAAAATAATGTTAATAAAAATATATTTGAATACACTGAATATAAAATAACGAATACAGTAAATACAAACATTGAATCTAATGAATGCAACAGTAAAAAATAAATATTGAAACACGCTAAATACAAAAGTTAAATACAACAGTTATATACAACTGAAAAATTATTCTAATTAATTGGGTTAATAATGAGGCATGTTAGAATTGATTTTGTTGAGTTATATTAGGAGTGTATCACACTAATTGATCCTATTTCCGTTATTAGATAGCTGGACAAACCTATTTTTAAGGTGATTGTCGTTACTGTATTCAAGAATACATGGCGCGAATACATGTGAATACAGTCGCGTACAGCTATAACCCCCTTGTTTTTAGGTGAATTTTGCTATTGTATTCATGAATTAAGTAGCGCGAATACATCGAATACATTACCGTAACAACTGAATAGTAGCTATAGGAAGTAATTATGTATATGGTAGTTATAGAAAGTTAATAGTCACTAAACAATAATAGTTTCTTTTAACGACCCGACCGATCGTTTTGAGCTCTAGCGCGTCATCCGGCGGTTTGAGACCTTGAGTAGCTCCACTTAAGGTATTAGGACTTGTACGTATGGTCGTAATTGAATTTCGGAAAGTTTGGAGTTGATTTGGAAAGAAAATTTTAATTTCGGGAACTTTAAGTTGGAAGAATTGACTAAGGTTTGACTTTTGAGTAAACGACTTCGAAATCAGGATTTGAAGGTTTCAATAGGTTTGTATGATAATTTCGGATTTGGGTGTATGTTCGGGTTGAGTATTGGATCACCCGGGAGTATTTCAGCGCTTATTATAGAAAGTTGACATTTTGAAGATTTTAGAATTTCCTATGATTGGTTTGAGGTGGACTTTGGTGTTACCGATACCCGTTTGGGATTCTGAGCCTTGGAGTAGGTTTGTATTGCGATTTATGACTTGTATGCAAAGTTTGGCGTCATTCCGGAATGTTTTGATATGATTCAGACGCGTTTGTCGAAGTTTAAAAGTTTGAAAGTTTAAAGAAGGGTTTCGATCGTCGATTCGCAATTTTGATGTTGTTTGGTGTGATTTGAGAACCCGAATAGGTTCATGTTATGTTTTGGTACTGGTTGGTACATTTGGATGGGGTCCCGGGGGGTCTCAGGTTTGTAATGGATTGAGAACAGATTGAAACATAGAATTTAAGACCTGCTGATGGTGCTGAAATCTGGTGCCATCGCACCTGCGGAAGGAGTGGCTGCAGGTGCGATCACGCAGGTGTGAAGATTTCATCGTAGGTGTGAAGATTTCATCGCACGTGCGATTTGCCGTGGGGGAAGTCTGGAAACGCAGGTGCGAGGAAATTTCCGCACCACCGTAGATGCGGAGAAGAAGCGCAGAAGCGGAGGTCGGCCAAGGAGGCCTGGGCCGCAGAAACGGACATGGTCATGCAGGTGCGCGAGCGCAGAAGCGCTTGAGGCCTGCAGAAGCGGAAGCGCAGGTACGCTACTTGGGGCGCATATGTGAGGGTTGTTGGTTTGAGCTGGAGCCGCACCTGCGATGGATCTTCCACAGGTGCGGAGCCGCAAAATCGGCTACTGTTCCGCAGGTGCGAGGAAGCGTTGGGCAGATTGATTTTTATACGGGATTTGGCCTATTTTTCTTTCATTCTCTCTTGGCTTAGGCGATTTTTGGAGAGTTTCAAGTGGAGATTTTCACCATCTATGTCAAGGTAAGTAATTCCCACATATTGTGAGTTAAATACATGGTTTATATGTGAATTTGAACATGGAAATTAGTAGAAATTTGAGATTTTGGTAAAAAAACTAGAAATTAGTATTTTTGGATTTTGACCATGAAATTGGACATGAAAATTATAATAAATTATATATTTGAGTTCGTGGTGTTATGGGTAAACTTTATCTTCGAAAATTTTCGAAATTCGGGCATGTGGGCCCGATGGTTGACTTTATTGACTTTTAGAGCGGAGCTGGGAATTGTTATAAATTGATTAATTATAAGCATTGGAGTATATTTTGATTGAATTGCACATTGTTTGACTAGTTTCGAATAGCTTGGCTTGAATTGAAGAGTTAGAGAGGCGTTGGACACGGTTATGAAACTTCGGAGCGAGGTAAGTCTCGTGTCTAACCTTGTGAGGGGAAAACTACCCCCTAGGTGGTGTAATTGCTACGTGATACTAGTTGTGGGTGTTACGTACGCACAAGGTGACGAGAGTCCGTACGTAGCTAAAGCATGTTTATGTCCAGGTAGACTTAGGACATTATTATGAAATAATTGAATCATTTGAACTCGTTCTGCTGACTTAATTACTTGGACTTATAATTGAAATTGATTTAGAAATAAATATATGTATACTAGGCCGAGTCTTATCATCTTGAGTTGTTGGCTAGTTATTTGAGTAACGGTAAAGATTATGTTCACTTTATGCTCATGTACTATATTGTAAGCACGTGTCTCTTGATTCGATAAATTCCTTCCTTTATTGTGGAGCGGGCCGAATGCCTCAGCAGTATAATAGATGCATCTATGGTTCGTGCCGCTCGACCCTCGACAGTGTACATATTATTCTGGATCGGACCGAACGACCTCGGCTAATCGTGCGTTATATCGCTGGTAGTCCGGACATTCATGAGATTATCTTTATGCTGATGCCCGGCATTTTATATGGTATGCCTTATTCATTTAATATTGGCACTTGACATTTTGAGCTATTAAGGTAGAATACAAGATTGAGAAATTCATACTTTAAAGGAAATATTTGGAAGATTATGTAACTTAAAGACTTACCCCATTATTGTTGTGTGCTTCATATCTGATTATGATTTATTATATGGTTTTATTGGACCTCTAGTAAGTGTCGATGTCGACCCCTTGTCACTACTTCTCCGGGGGTTAGGCTAGATACTTACTTGGTACGCGTTGATTCACGTACTCATGCTGCACTTCTGCACTAAATGTGCAGGATTTGACAGGTTCATGTGGCGGTTACCTTGGCGCGTAGGCGCAGCGGTTGAGGAGACTTTATGTGAGCTGCATTACAGGCTACGCATCGTAGTCCACAGAGTCTCCATCGTATTATTTAATTTACCCTGTCTCATTTACATTCTAGACAGATGTTGTAATATTATTGCACTCCTTAGTAGATGCTCATGCACTTGTGACACCGGGTTTTGGGAGTGTTCTAGAACGTGTTATGGGTTGTTTTACACTGATTCACTTTCACTTATTATGTTAACAAAACTGTACGTAACTACGATTTATTTTAATGCACTAACCTCGTTATCCAAGAATGTCTTATGATATTTTTTTAAAGATAGATATAATGAATAATTAAGTGTTGGCTTGCCTAACGGCGATGTTGGGCGTCATCACGACCTAGAGGAGAAATTGGGTCGTGACATTTCTGAAAATTCCTCAATAATGTTTGAGGGTATCAAGTCAACTTAAGACATATCAATTGATAAAATTCAAAAATAATTTTCGAAAAAAAGAAGCAAGGATTTAACAAATTTGAAAACAAATAGCAAACAAGTTACAAATATGCCTTCATTCTCAAAAAGTCATTGAGATGTATCAGCTTAAATGCGTGGGAAATATTACACTATGTCAAGTTCATGATTTTTTCCTGCCAATTGTACCTTTTTCTATGTCAAGTTCATGATTTTCTTGGTCATTTTCATTCAAAATTTGGTATTATTCCTCAATCATTAAGCTTTCTAAATCCCCATTTGTGAGAGAACATGAACAACACTTTGGTATGAATCTCCTCTTTGTCCAGATTCTTCTATTCCTCTAGAATTGATTCTTTCTTGTCATCCCACTTTTTCAACCTATATTGAGCTGATTCCACCTGCAATCAAAGGCGAATACAGAATTTATAGTTAGTGGATTCAGAATGACACACACACAAAAAAAATATATAATATTTTTTGCATATGTGCTTATGGATCAAGCCGAAAACAACGGGATCAGTTGAACTCATTGAACACGTTCTAGATCCGCCTCTACTTGTAATTCATGTTTAGCTTAAGGAAAGAATGTTCGCACAATATTTTTGTACTAAGACCAAATTCCTCTGGATTTATTGCATCACTGGTAAAAGAAGCAGAGATCCTTTACAAGAATGTTGTGAAATATTCAGGATATCTTCTTATGACTAACTTAAATCTTAACTTGGTGTATTAGTTATACCAATTTTTCCCGGAAATGAACTATAATAGATTGGTAAAAAGACGATATCAACAAAAATAACAACTCAGTGAAATCCCACAAATGAGATCTGGGGAGGGTAGTGTATACGCAGAATAATTGTGGCATGTGGGTCGGGCCCGGTCCTAAGTGGGCTTCGTGGGCCCGGTCTTAAGCGGGCCGGTCCTAAGTGGTCCCGGGCTTCGCGGGCTTCTTGTTGGAACCGGTCCCGAACCGGGACCACGAACTAACGACCCCGGGCCTAAGTGGGCCCAACGGATACTTTCTATTTTAATTTTTTTTTTATTTATAGAAGTTAGAGAAAAAAAATAGTAATAAAAATATCTAAGGCAATTCCTTATAAATTATGTTATAAAATTGTGACCTAAATTTTTTAATTCAAATTTAAAGACAAAAATAAGCTATATTATATATATATATATATATATA